TCCTGCAGTTAACAGAGACAGACAACAACTATACTGAACTGGGACAAATCTGTAAATTTAACTCCCCATCTTTTGTATTATCTAGCAGTATGTCAGAAGACCATAACACAGTCTGAAAGAGGGTAAGACAATGTGGTTTCCTGAGACTGGGAGGGACTGGAGCCAGTGACCCAGGAGGTCTCATCCCTTCCCATGCTCTTCTTTTCTTTCCATGCTCTCTTCTTGCTGCTACACATCTAAATTTAGGCTGTAAACTAATTTTAACTGTAAGGGGCATGGGGCTGACTCTTTTGAGTGTCTGACACATTGTAAGAGCAGGGTAACTAAAACACAAATGCTTATGTAAATCCATCTTTGATTTTGCAATCAATTTAGTTCAGTAATTTGTTGCAGGGATTGGCTGAAGTACCATGCCAGAATTTTTACAGCCTCTCTGCCATAAAACTGACAAGCATAGGTTTTCTGGTTTTGTTTTTACTTCCTTTCAAGTGTAATAACTTCCCTTTTCATAAAATGCCAACATATTCTTTTAAAACTGTCAGGCTGCCATCAACCTGGTCATGATCCAGTGCCAGGCCATAGCCAGACAAGATGAGTTACAAGGTAATCTTTTCTCTGCCAGACAATACAAAGATATTGGCACCTTTTCTCACTGCTGCAAATCAGCTCAAAAGGCCACAGAAATCAGAAACTCAAGAAGGACTTCTTCCGCTTTTTGGGGTTTGCCTTGCAAGGAAAGTGGTGTTCTGCAAGGAATCTTATGTTTTCATTAATAGCATGCTGGTTTCTTCCCTTTATCCAAGACTTCTCCTCCACACAAGTCCTGGATATAATTTTAATGAAATTGAGGGTACCCTCCCCCTCTCCAAGTTATACACTGGATTCCTGAAGACTGGTTTCAAGGAAATGCTACTCCCAAGACAAAATACAAAGCAGCTGCACAGCTTTGGCAGAGGAGACTGCATAAATGCCACCAAAAAGTGAATCACTACCTCAGCCTAACTGGAAGTGTATCAATATTCCTGCTCAGGAAGGTCATGCAGTAGTGGAGACCATCCCTAATATGTAGAAAAAATAGTACAAACGGCCACAGAACCAGAGGACAGACCCCATTTTTTCATGTAGCTGACATGGAAATTGAGGTTTTTCAAAGCTTCTCAGCCAGTAAATTACTACATGAGCATGGTCAGAGTTTTAAGAGAGATCTATAAAGCAGTGGTATTTGCATGTGACTTCAAGACTACACCTACATTCTTTGCTGCTATAATCCTTCCAAATTTGCTTTTAAATGATTTGAGATGTATGTGGATGGTACCAAACTTCCACCTCCTTTCTCCATCTCTTGCTTGGGTATTCAAAGGAGGGCATGCCAGACTCTTAATTTAATAGCTCTGTAATGCCATCAAGAGTAGTGATGAAAACAAATGTCTCCACGTGGGACTTGCAGGGATAAATGCAGAACCATCAGGTTTGCACATGCAGAGACCAGGTAGGGATTGTAAGAAGATCCAGTTAGTGCTTCTGGGATAATATTCTATTTTTAAAAAACATTTTGAATTGTATGACCATAAAGTATACAGTCAACCTAGAGACATTAGTGCACTGATCCTTCCTCATACCAATCTGTTGTGCAACACAGTACTTCTGTTTTGCCAAGCTGAGAAAAGTTCACCTGGACACTGACAGGAGTCAAGCTGGTTTTCATTTTGCCTGCATGGCACCACTGGGAACAGAAATTCCAGGAGTCAAGCCCTGCTTTCAACACAATGTGGACAACCCCCTGTTTCCTACAAGGCAGAACAACATGAAGTTAAAGACAGCATTTTCATCCACAGTAGCAAAATAGTTAAAAGTGCTAAGACGTATCTGAAAACGGAGACATCCACAAACTCTGGCCATGCTTGCAACAATAAAAGTATAAATATTAATTTCTTTCACAGCAGCAAGCATGTAGGGATATATTATCAGGTATTTGCTGATAACGGTTTGTTATGGAGCGATAATGGTATAGAGGAAAGGTGAAATTTTTTCCTAATGACTTTCTCAGAGTAGAAAGCACTGAATTAACTGATCTATTAATGGCATTTATTACTATAATTACTTGGCATTAGAACAAATATCCACGTATGGTACTTGCAAAAAAGCTCATACAATTATAGTATTCATCACACAGATCTTTTTTGAAAACTGTGACTACTTTTGGAATTTAGTCAGCTTTGGGCTCTACACAAACTATTTAGCAACACACAATAGCCATTTATCAGAGAATTCCAGCAAGGTATTATCTTTGGGAAACCTGAATAAGAATTTCCAGCAGCAGGTTACAGGTCCCCAGACTGGGACATAACTCCCGTATTCACAATTCCAGTGTTTGCAGCTTTTGATCCAACACAACTATCATTGGAAAGGTAATGTTTGCAGTCATGTTGGAAATCCCAGCCCTCCTATGCATGCAGTATTAAAGAGATGGTAGCTGAATATCAGACACATCCAATATTGAGGTATGAAGTTTGAGACAGGCACAAAGAAGATGATAGGAAATCTTTCACAATACTTCAGCTCATTCCGGAAGCATGAAAAGAATGATTAAAGAAAATAAAAAAGAAAGGTGACACAGTTCACTGAAAGCTTGGAGTGATTTAGGAGTTTGTCTAGTTCTGCTTAGGAAGCCAAATGAACCACTCACCAAAGGAAAATGATAACCGGTAAGGAAAGGAAATCAGATGAATACACAATTTACACACCGTCTAGATAAGAAATATTTACCTTCAGATAACTTTAAATTCAACTACTGAAATCAAGCATTTCCGGTCTCCAAAACTCTTGTGACTTAGATCAACATCTTTATAGCTCTAATCCATGTACTTGGAGGTGAAAAAAAGAAAAAGAAAAGGAAAACTAAACAGAGCTTGAGGTACCTACACTTCAACTTGATCTCTTACTGGATACACAGCAAGATAAGGTACAGTCAACAAGGAAGTCCTCAGGCAATCTTCTGCCTATAGAATACCCCAAACAAAGTAGCCCTCTTTTTCTTGCTCAGTATATTTCATTTGAAATGTTTAACTAGAAAATGGGATTAGATCAAAAAGAGATTTACAAGGAGAGCTGCACTTCAGCTGCACTCCAAAGCTCAGTGCAAAATATTAGACATGCAAGACATGATGATGGAGAAACACCTTCCACTCTTAAAACGATGTAGTATAATTAGCAACAAATCTACTCAGAAAAGTATTTTAAATATATTTTGGTGGTTAATCAGCACTTTCCTATGTGATTACGTAATGTTATTCTTTACACCAAATCCAGCTTCACCCAGGAGCTGCTTTTGACTTAAAGTGGAGTCTAATAGTATAAAAGCATATTAAAACTGATGAAGTTGAATTTTATATGTGCTTCAAGACATCTTGAAAGAAGTGGCAAAGGTTGTCTTGGTATCGGAACCCAATTTCTTTGCTAATACATGAAAAGCCTTTTGAGGTTTCATTAAAGAGAACCATTTAGTTTGGAAAAAACCCTTATGATTCTTGAGTCCAACCACTGCTCCCAGTCCTTCTCTTCTCCTTCCTCTTGTTTCCTGGAAAGGAACAACATACCACCCTAATACTTACCAGTGGATCATGTGAATCAAATGAAAATGTATCCTCTGGATCTCAGTGGGTCAGGAATCAGCACCAGAATAATTCTCCTCTCAATCTCCACAACAGGTAAATTAACAGACTAATGCCACAGCTCAGGAGAACAAGCCCAGAACAACCACATTTTGCACATTTTGCAACAGCCTGGAGAATTTTGGACAAAGACATGTGGACAGGTGTGAGGCAAAGGGGAGAGGCTGCAGGTGTGTCCTACCAATGAGCTGGACACCCTTTTCTAGGTGAAAACTCATGTACAGGGAGCACTGGCTTGCTGCCAAAGCTCTAATAACATACCAAGACAGTAACTAAGCTAAAAGGCTAATCTCATAAAAGACCAACCTAACTCCTTCTCTTAAGAAAAGGACTCCTTCTTCTTAGGAAAAACCATGTGGTGCTGGGTGTACAGAGAGTGAGCATGATTGTGGGCAAGGATCCAGGTGCTGTATGAGGCTCTTGCCTCAGGGGACTCCCAAATAAAGAGGTCAAGAGAGAAGATACATATTCAGACAGACAGTCAAAAGACAGAAGCAAAAATACCTGCAACAAGCTGTAGACAAAACTGTATTTGTAGGCACTCTTGAGGTGCAAGTTCGAGGAAGATTTTGAAAGAAAACAACATAATGTGATTTTGTATAACTATAAAAGAATCCTCTAATATATGAACAGCAGCAGTAGAAGGGCAGCTCCATAGATACATATGGCAGTGCATAATTCTTAAATGAAAAATAATAAAATAGGTAATGAAATGTAACCAACCTACCTTGAGCACAGGGTGATATTTTTAAATTATCTATATTTGTTTTGATATTTCTGTATTTATATTTACCTACTCTTCTACATTAACATTGAACCAATCTGACTTTAGTTTAGCAGGCAGCACTTTAGTAACACTCAAACTTCAAGTTTCCTCAAAAATGCCTTCAACAGGCAATTTGGATGACAGCCAGGTGTGAAAAGGCACCTTTGACTGAAAAGTACTAAGAAATGGAATGAACTTTGGAATGGAGAATATGTTAAGTTCAGTTATTATGAAAATACAGCAAACATGAAGAGTAGCTGGTGTGCCACGGGGAGAAGTCTTACACAGGATAATTGCCTAATCCACATTTTTTGTGGACTCCTAATTGTAAAATACCGGTGAGTGCCAGTGCTGCAAGTTACATTCACACACCAATTCAAACTTTAACATATTTGCCTTAAAGAAGAAACAGCCCCATGGTAATCTCATAGTCTACCTCAATCCTCCCACCCCAGGTACCCCACAGGTAGCAGAGGATCACTTCCTGCAACAAAAATAGGAGTGGGAAAAGACTAAATACACATAGAAACATTTAGCTAGTACCTTTTTAAAAAGTAGTTTACCTTGGATGTGCATCCCTTTCCCCCTCAATGCTGGACCCACACGGCTGAGCTCACAGCACTACTGCAGTGGCTCTTTCCACTTCAGCTCCAAGGGTAGCTGCACACCTTCAAAGCCATGTTTTGCCCTGGGTTTTTTGCTTCAAAGAGTAATAAAAAGAAAACAAAATTACAAAACCCAAAACAGGACATAGCATTAACACTATCATTTTCCCTCCAGTGGCTGAGCAGGACCAAGGATTAGCTTCTTTGCAGAAATACTCTAGAGGAGAAACAGTGAAATTTTGCTCTTCACAGGAGTTTAAAACATGGCCAGATTTTAGGAATTGTACCAACAGGAGAGGGAAAGTGTTCTCACAACTGTGTGCCTTCCTTGCATTCTTCCCCAGCATTCATGAGACAGAAAAAGTCCAAAGAAAAGTAACTTCCCTGTCTCACCTGGTCATTATTAATTACAGAGTTAATCAAACTGGAAAGGCCACACAAACCCATTTAATTAGAATCTTGGATAGAAATCACTCTTTTTTTTCTTCCACTGTTGCTTTTCCATTCCTTTTAGGCAGGGTGACAGTAATCAGAAAGTCTAATTTTCTGACTGCATGGACAGGCAAAAGCCAGAACTGACTTATTTAACATGGGAAGAATAAAGGTGAGATTTCTGGTGAATGGTAGGAAAAAATGAAACACCTGTCATATTAAGGAGAAAGAAACTCTACTGAGCAGAGTAGCATGACCCCACCTACACAAAGCTTGAATTACAGGACATTTGTTGTAAGAAACAGAAGCATTGAAGAGAACCCAAGCTGGGGTCAGGCAGGGCAGGATGTCACAGCTCTCTCCCCAAGCTGACAACCTTTCCCCAGGGCAAAGACCAGCCCTGCCAAGGAAACTGGGATTTCCCTGGCCAGGCTCCTCTTCCTCCCTTGGCCACAAGACTAGGAGGAAGGCAGCTGTCCTGCTGCTCATCCCACAGGAAGCTTCAGGTTGGTGGAAGAAACTATAATACACATAAAGAGTCAGTGGACAGTGGCAGAGGGATGTGAAGAAAGTCCTTGCCCCTTTTCTGTCCTTCACCTGCAAGAAAAAGAAATTACAACAATGTTGTTGTCATTTGTGCAAGGTGAAAAATCCTTTCTTACCATCCTAAGTCTCTAAATGATCATCTGGAGAAAGCTTCCCCATCACCAGTTCTCAGGTCCTTACAAGGAGCAGCTGGGGAATTTATCACCTCACCCAGGACAGTTCAGGGCTCCTCCTGGATCTCCTGGAGCAGGTCTGGGGGAGGGTGACATGATGCGGGGACTGGAACGTGCCCCTGATGAGGAAAGGCTGAGGGAGCTGGGGCTGCTCAGCCTCCAGAGGAGCCCCAGCTGAGAGGGGACTGCTGCTGCCTTCCCAAGGACTGGGGATGATCCATGAGAAGATGGAAAGGCCAGGCACTGCTTCCCACAAAGAAACTGCACATGCTGTAATTTAACTAATCTTCTTACAAATGAATTGAAACATGTTTTTAAGGCCTAGCTAGTCTTAGGAAGCAATGGCATATATAAGCCACAGCCTTAGTATAGACTACTTGCTTTCCAATGTATTTAGGTACCATTATTAGAAGTGGATGCATACAGCTGAAGGACAGAACAGCTATAATTGAGAGGAAAATTTGGCCTGGTCTCAAAGATCAAGCAAAAATTATAGTTACATCCATATTAAGTAGAAAAAAGCCCCAACCATTAGTTTCCTAGCTTAAATCCCTTGCTGAAAACACACTTTAAAATCTGATACTAAACACTGCAGCCATAGTCCTGATACAAAATACAGTACTACAGATGACACACTAGGAAAAATAAAACAAAATTAACATACCAATGTTTGTGGCTGGACCACTGTACCATTACTGGCATTTTGCTTATGTAGTGATTCCATTGGTGTTTTGCATTACATGGCAAAAACATAGGTTCCCCTTCTAAGAAAAGAATTGCTTAATGTGCCAAATGGTACATCTGGAGAGAAGTACTGCCAGCCTGCAACGATAACAACAAAAACAGATTATTCCAGTGCTTGCTGGCTAGGTTTCTAAATTATGATATTGCTATTAAGAATCATATATTGGTGTATTACTTAAAGCTTTCAGGCTGGAAAGCATCCTTAATCCATTATTTGATGGCTTTTTTTTTCTTTTTTTTTTTTTTNTTTTTTTTTTTTTTTTTTTTTGCAAATCCAGCAGCTGCAGGGGAGGTGACTGTGGGTTTGGTGAGATATCATGTATTATTAGTGCTTTGCTTTAGCTTTTAAATTAAATTATTCTGTGACCTTCCACTGTCAAAGACACTGTCAGGCACAAAAATAGTTTGATCTTCAAATGAGTAACTTAAAATGAAGCCTTCTGCTTGATAGTGTGGATTAAGTGTCATGTGGTGTTTAAGTTCCAGCACATGGATAAGGGAAAACAGGCAGAAAGGACCTACTGGATGGCATGTGACCCATTATAATCTGTATTTCCAAAGCTTATTGCACTACTACCATATAAGTTAGCAGGCCCTTACAAACAAGCAGTGACTTTGCTACTCCTCTGGGAGGTTCCTGCACAAATCAAGCTTCTCCTAGAATGGGATTCCTGCAGGAGAGGCCTCAGTGCCCCTTGCCTAACTTGTTGCAGGGCTCTGTGTGGTTGCAAGTCTACAGCTGTGCAACTCAACATGAAAACCTGCAGTGCAGCACACCTCAGCTGAAGCCTTAAATTTAAATTATGCCTCCTTTTCAACAGTATTTTCTTTGTGACAATTTCACTGAAAAAAACCAAAAAAACCCCAAAACCATCCCAAGCATTTTCGATTTCAAAGACTCAAGTTTACACAGAATGATACAAACCATAGCCAGATATGCTGTATTTAACCCCAATAACACAAAATACGACCTCTGCCAGCAGAAGGAACACAGCAGATACTGTTGAAGATGCTACTGCAGTAAAGAACACAACTGATTCAGGGTAGGTGAGAGACATCACCAGCCTCGTCTGTCCAGAAGAGGGGAGGGACATGGAGGTGCCTCAGAGCAAGGCTCTGCTTTGTGACAGCTGTACCAAACCATGGAAGAGCACAAGCAGAGCTGCAGCTGTTTCAGAAGGTGGAGGAGGTCTCTGTTTTTGAGGTTTGTGACAGTCACTGCATTTACAAATAGCCATCCAAAGAATATGGGTGATTTTTTTTTTTCTCCACTAAAGGGGAAAGGTTTTCCAACTGAATACTTTCCTGATTTGGAGGCTCCAGGCATGCTTTTGGGAGCTTATGGAAAGCAGCCTGTCCTATAGATCTTGGAGCAAAAGTTGCTCAAAACATTGTTCTGGAGTTGTTCTCAACCAATCTGACATAGTCTGTGGATAATTTTAAATACTCAGTGGTAAAAAAAAAAAAAAAAAAAAAAAAAAAAAAAAAAAAAAAAAAAAAAAAAAAAAAAAAAAAAGAAAAAAAAAAAAAAATTAAAAAAAAAAAAAAAAAAAAAAGGTGATTTGAGATAGTTGAAACAGGATACTTAACAGGGCAGTAGAAATGTTTCAGGGATGACACATCAGGGCATGTGGCAATGTAGAAACAACACAGGTGAAATATTTGAAATTCTGTAAAAACCTGTGAGTTATTATTACATTCTGCTTAGAGCTGGAAGGGAGAGAAAAGATGTGGCTTTCAGGGTTCCATCCCTGAAAGCTGCCCTTTATGCTGTAAAACTCACCAGCTAGAACAAAGACTCTGCAGGGTGGGGCTGGGGGCACTGCTGATTTTGAACAGCACATGGATGGCCCCACGTTGCCCAAATCCCATCTGGGGGTATGGGACAGTGCTGCAGATGTCTACTGGGGACTTAAACTATCCAGACTTCAACTAGGTAATTACCACCTTGCACAGTATTGATGAATACTGAAAAACACAATTAAGCCCAAACTGAACTTCTCAAAAGTTCCCCATTCATCCGCTCCCCAACATGGACAAATTGACAATTGTCACAGGAAGCTTCCATGGTCCATTATGTGAAAAATGTAAATAATTTTGACGTTTACCAGTGCTTCCTAAAACTAAAAGCACCTCTCTTAAACTGACCATGCATTTTCAAAGACAGACTTGAAGGTTGCATAGTTTGTTAAACTAACTCACCTGTCCTCCAAATGTATTGACATTTTTCCTCTCACACAGCAGTTCCTTTATTTTCTCAAAGATCAGAATTTTTCCATCCCAGAAGATATTTTTCAGGATTGCTCTTTAGTTCCTTCCTGAAGAAACATGTTTGACAATTGATCCTATCTAAGTTATTTCCTTGTCTGACAGAGAATATTAATGGAAGTTTGAACAACAAATTCAGAGCAGCATGCCGTCACCAAGGGGATGAGGAGTGCCCAGAGTGAGACCCAAGTTATGGAACTTTCCAGCTTTGGAAGGTTGATCTCTACATAGTCTTATATTATTTGTTTACTTTCAGTGCCCAGATTTGTGCTTCATTTTATTGAACAACCAGCCCTGAAGTGGCATTTAACATGCATCTCTTATTTTAGTGTCAGACATCAAATCTACAAGTCTAGCTTGCACAGCATACATCATGAATTTCTGCCTAACTTATATGCAGTGAAAACATTGTTCTTCCTGAAAAAAGTAATGTAAACAAAATGTAATAACAAAAGAACAAAGTTCACAGTGAAAATGGTGTGTCATGGTTTTAGCCTATGATAACACAACAGTTCTTTAATATTTAGCTTTGATAATAACAGCTGAATTAGATACATGCTTCCAGAGACACAGACTGTTCCAAGCCTGGCTGCTTCACAGATGGGGGACGCAGAGATGAAGTGACTGCCTGAAAGTAACACTGGAGGTCTATGGCAAAGTCAAAAACTGATCCAAGAACTCCCAATTCCTCTCCATTGTGTGCACCACAGGGCTACTGTGTCTTTTGGCTAGGGCTATTATTCTGTACCTGTAATAGTGTTTGCCCCCACCTGGCGTTGTTAAAATCACTCTCAGCACCATTAGAAACCAGCAGCTCTCACCTCCAACAACCCCCACGTTTGGTCTCACAAGTCCTAACCTCCCTCAAAGCTGGGGGAAAAGTCCAGGAGCATGTCCCAGACACACAGCACTGACATCCCATCCTACAGACACAACCCCACAGACCTCCCACCTCCTCCAGCCCTCTGAACAACCTGCCCCACAATTTATTTGCCAAAGCTGCAAATCTGGCAGCATGGTGTGCAAAGTCTCACCCAGCCATGAGCGCCTAGAAGGGAGCTCTGCCAGGAACCCATTTCATATCCAGTTTGGGAGGATGCTCACCTGGTGCCCAGCAGCTCTGGCTGCAGGAACGAGTTGCTGCTGCTCTTGGAGGGACCTTTGTAAGTATATTTTTGCAGAGAAGATAACCCCAAAGCCTTCACCTTTTATTTGGGATAACTGAGAAGATGGAAACTGAAAGACTGTATGGGAGGGATTCAGAAAAATACAACTGGCTGTTAACCACTCATGTCAGTGGGAAATAAACACTAGACATGTGCCCTCCAAAACCTCTCAGGTGTGATTTGTCCAGAGCTGCAATACAACCAGAAATACAATCTAGGAATTGCATACCAGTGTGTCTTGGCACTGATCACCACAGAACAGCCACTGCACCTCATGCTCACACAGGACTGCCCCACTTAAGGCCTTCCGAGGTGAAGAGAAATCATCAAATCCAGCTTCCACAAATCTGCTAAAAATGCTGAAGGAAAAAATAAAACATGAAAAACGTTTAGAAGGACCAGTAAGTGCATATAGAAGTCTACAGTACATAGAAAGTCTAAAATTAATCACTGTTTTAAAAGCAGTGACAATTTCCCTTTTTAAAACTCCTTAGTTTTCAGAAACACACATACCGGTTTTTATTATTGCATAAACCAGCTCATCCAGATTTGTTCCTATTGTCTAGATTCTATAACTTACAGCAGATGAAAAAAAAAAAAAAAGCTGGATTCTGTCATAGGATGCGAGAAAACTTGTGATTAAAAAAGATTTCAGGGATGAAGTTTCCCAAGTAACCACGGAAAAGCCACATATTGATCATTTGTGCTCAGAGTTCTCCCTTTCCCAAGGGAAAGGACATAAAAACATGCATCTGTTTATATCAGTTTGAGAGGAAGTGGTAGAAAGGATGACTGTAACAGTGCCCTGTCCAACATTATTTCCTGGCGCTCATCTGCTGATGTTTGAAGTGCATCTGCACAAAGTGTACCTTTGCTGAGCTTCTCAAAATATATGAACCCCCAAGTATTTCAGAACAACAAAATCAAAATTAGGTGATAATAGATATATACAACCAAAGCCACCTTCTCCCTCTCTCTCCGTCCACTTGCAGGAGTCAGCAAAGCATATCCAGATTTGTGTTTGAACCCATCAGCACCAGTGCAAACATGTTTTTCAGAAGCCTCAGAACAATAGAATTTATTTCATTAATTTCTAGTCCCTGTCTCCAGTTGGAATAATTACCACAGCAAACTCTGGAAGCTTTGAAATGGCAATGACAGCAGAGAAGGGAAAGAGGATTACCATCACAGAGACTTAGCCTACAGTGATCACTTGCCAATATTAGCATAATACTTTAAACATGGATATAGAAATGGCAAGGAAATATTCCTTTCAAACTCCTAAGTTATACCCAGGGTGATGGCTTTGAAAAAGTAGAATAGCTTATACTATCCATGAATTTAATTGCACAACATGTAAAACAGCGCTGTGCTCTTCCCAACAGGCACCAGGTGGAGGGGCCTTTTGTGGAGACTCACGGTGTTCATTTAGGGGTAATCCCTGGGAGACACTCTGTCACTGACATATGCTCCTGCTCGACAACACATTGGACAGCTCACTGACAATTTCTTTCTCTGAAAACCTGCTGTCACTTCAGGGTGTGCTGGGCAGCCTCCAGCACAGTACAGGCTCCAGAAGATGCTCCAAAACTCCCAGTGCCTTGCAGGCTTTGGCAATGATCAGAATGAGAAGGGACAAGATGCTGAGCATTTTCTGTGAGGGTTCTGCATTTTAGCAATTAAAAAACTGGATCTGTAATCTCATTCAGTTACCTCACCAATAAGACAAGATTTTTTGTTTGTTTGTTTTAGGTTTATTGTCAGTGAGTGAAATGGAAGGCACCTGCTTGGCATTCAGTGCCTGATAGTTACTAATGCCATGGGTTGGAAAAGCTTAATCTATAATTTGCTTTAAAAGAAAGAGGGGACAAAACAGTTAACAAATCAAAACAGATATGTGGCTGTGGTGCAGGGATCCTTGGGATCTGGCATTTAGAGAGCCAGCAGAGGATTTGGCACCCAAGGACAAGCAGCACTACTCTAGCCTCCATAGCAGCTCTCCCCAAATCCTCCCTGCCATATCCAGCACAACCTTCACAGTCACAAGTTGTCCTTGGTATGACCCATAGGACTTTTCCAGCTACTGAAGTCCTCCTCTCTTCCGCCTATTCCCTCAGAAGGCATCAGTTTTCTATTTTAAAAATATCAAGTCACCCTATCTCAGCTGCATTATAAAAAAGACAAACAAAACAACCCAAAACAATTTCGTGTGTGTGGAACAAGAAAAAAAAACACTTCAAACCCAAAGAAGTTTCCAATAAGTCACTCATTGAAATTCAGGAAGAAAAAACCCCAAAGGGTAAAAATACCCCCACGTATCCAAGTTCTCTGAGGCCATTTCTTTCCCTCATCTGTGTTCCATCATCTTCTTCCTTATCCAAAAAAGTTGTGGTGTCCGTGGGAGTATGAAAAAACATTGGTGTGACCACGGAAAGGAACTCTGTGTCTGGCAGCAGAAAGCCACGCGTTATCCCGTCTCCAGGAACTCGGCCTTCCTTCGATGGTCATAAATATTCTCTGATGACAAAGCAGAGGCTAGTCATTCAACCAGACTGAATAATACTGCACAAGCCTGAAAAGCACACTGGGATCTGTGTTCTGTCCCCAGCCACAACAAAGGCTGAGGAAACAACCCGACTGGCCTCATGTGTAGGACACTCTGTGCTGTCACATCCACCTTCAGGAGGATTCAGGCAGGAGTACTGGACTTCCCTCTCTCAGAGGTGGCCATAAAATTTATCTGAGGACAGTGTCATCCACAGCAGCCCTTGGTGAAGGACTTGGGGGTGCTAGTGGGTAAGAGCTGGACGTGCTCCAGCTGTGTGTGCTGGGACCCCAAACTCCTCAAGCTGGGCTGAGAGTGATCAGGCTCAACCATGTATCACTGAATGACACACCAAGGCTGAAGAAAGCACCAAAGCACAGGCTCTCTCATTAATGATAGATACTGCATGCTATTCATGAGCACACAAGCAGCTATGACACCTTTTTAGTTACACTTTGTCCTTGGGACTCTTCAAAGTTTTACAAAACATTCAGACACAAGTTTTTGAAGGGAGGGGGGAAAAAAAGACTCATTACACCACTAACTTTACACTACACTGTGTAATCAAAGATCTCCTAACTTTCAGGAGAGCGTTACTTGACATCTTGTTGCATAAATATTTTTTGCTTGTGCAAGCAAATCTGGGAATTATCAGTAACGTATGCCATTGTCTTGCCAAAGTTATTGATGAGAAAACGATCTTCATGACCAACCTTCCCCTAGCCAGAAGAAAAAAAAATAAGACTTAAATGTAAGTCACTCTCTTCTGCTGGCCTCCCTTTTCGCTCCCCAAACCCCAAATTAATAAGTTTAGAGTGAATAAACAAATAATCACTTTAAGCTTACCCATATGCCTTCTCCTTTTACAGTAGCCTTATAAATTAAATTTAATCTTACCCTTCAAGGTAGAAACAAGTAATAAACCTAACCTGTTTATTAGGCAGTGTAGTTTGAGAATTATACTCGCATTTCTGCCTTTGAGAACGTGAGGGATTGTTGACACAATGGAGGCCAAGCATGCATTTATGGTGCATGATATCACCATGGGGCTCACCGAGGCAGTTTACTTATTCCACAGATGACTGCCACAAGAGAATGTAATTGCTCAATAATGTGTCAATGTACCCATGGGAAGCATTTAAGTCATCTGAGACCTGTATTGGGAACTTGCCAGGGACCCTAGCACTACCTCTAATTTGCACGAAATGGAGGAATTGTGGCCATCTTCTGCAGTAAGAATAAACAGAACAAGGGAGGAAGTTGGGATGAGTCAAAAAGGTACTTCTTTCTCAGAAAACTGAACAGAACTGGAAGAGGAAAAACTGTTCCCCAGATTCAGGAAATAAAAGCTGTTAACAAACTTCTAAGCAGGCAAGTCAACATCAGTGTGGTATACTCCAGCACATGAGATGGTCTGCACTGGGGAGAAATTGCCTCACCAAGAACTAAAGCCTCCAAAATAGATCTAACACCAGACTGAAAAGCTATTTATAGACAATGAAACCCTCAGCTCCACCATGGCTTTATTTTTTAAGTCATAAATCAAGTTAAAGTGAAACATCCAAGTGATTGGATATTAGTGTGAGACAAATAACAATTAAAACTCTCTGAACATTGCAAATCAAGTACCATTGTGTAAGATCAGCTTAATAAATCAGTCTTTTCCATACATCTCAAGAATTAAAGGGTCACAGGATGAGATCCAACTTCATGGATACCTACTTTTATGCATGTAATTACTTCCATTGATTTTGAGAATGCTACCCGTATGCTTTAGTTCAGGTTCATGAAAATAGCTGGGTCAGCCAAAGCCTTGGTAATATCATCATCACTGGAAGTTTTGGGAAACTTTTCAAGCCAATGGAAATTGATATCCCTCCAATAAGACCCACAACAATGTAAAGAGACCCTGCAGCTAAAGTGAGAATGACTAGAGTCTGCAGTGGCTCAAACAAAACAGGAATTAACAGCCTTTCCCAGACATCCACTGTGCCATGCCATGATGCTCAGCTCAGGGCCCACATATGGCCTACTCCACGTAAAAAAAATAAACCAACAAACCCCCCCCCTAAAATTCCTAGTTCTGCTGATTTCAGCTTAGTCTTTAATCTAGTTTTTCCCCCCAGCTCTCCCTCTCACCCTGATCTGAATTTTCCCATTTCAAATGAGATTCAGAAGTCTGCCTGATGGCAGGTGGGTGGAGGCACTCCAGATACTATGTTTGTTGCTAGCCCAGCAGTTATTTGTGGTCAACTTTTTTGTTTGCCCACAAGAATTTCCAGGGTGGTGTAAACAGACAGATGTGGGTTCTCTTCTGCTATACAGATCACACCATAGAGAGATATCAAAAGAAAAAACCAAGCCATGAATAATGCACTAGTGAGAGCATTTGAAGCTCTGAACTTTGAAGACTGGCCTCTGAATTTATTGGTTTAATTGTTAGGTATGGATACTTAGGCCGCCAGATAGCTTTTGAAATTAAAACATCACTGAGAGGTATTTAGAAGTTTGTACAAAGTGTAAGTGGGCTCAAGTATTGGCAAACTCCAGGCTGGTCCCACCCTGACAGCACTGCCCTAATCTTACATGCTAAAATTGTTCTTTCCTTCTTTCCCTCAGTAGCACAGTGGTTTGATTTTTACTTCAGTGAGGCATCTCAACAACAAACCCATGGCTCATTGCTGCTGTAACACTGGAATGCTGAAGGGGAGGGTTTCAAAGGTATGGATTAGTAAAGCTCCACTGATTTCAGGTGAATTCATCCTAGCCAGGAAATTCTTCCCCTTGTTCTCTATTTTTTTTGCTTCTACTA